TCTCAACCGCGAATGGAGGTCTGTGACGTCATTTTTGTTGCGTGTGCTCGCGCACACCGGCGGCTGCTGGCTGGTGGAAAGAACGTGCGCCACTTATTATGGGCACTAAATTCTTTGGTTCAGTATCCCTTTAACGGAATATTACCACCAAGATTAGAATGTGACCAGGTCTGGAGTGACCTGGAAGATAATAGATACATACACAGGTCGGAACTTCATCGCTGCCAAATTTGAGATCAAATATTACCACCCAGACGGAAAGTTGGACGTGGTCAGACCCGCCATATCTGAAACTGGAGGCCAGATTTTGAAACCGGATGTAGCCAGATCTCCGAAGTTGGATCACTTGGATTCCAACTTAAACGTCACCAATTCTGAAACGAAAACAAAAATGTGTTTCAGGCCTAAGGTTTCGTTTTAGATGGGATAAAATATCGACTATAGCGATTTGAATGACTCCTCGTTTCTTCGCTGGGTTCGCTGGAGCGTTGTAGACACCGTCCTTCGGTTTGGTCCGAAAACTCAAGAACTTTATTCGTCATAATAATACTAAGCCTAATGTCCCGCCATTTAGCACTCAGGCCTGCCATTTATACACCAAAGGCGGATTTATGGCTCTTCACTGAACATCAAAATGGCGGCTCCCACAGAGTAGCTAGTAGGTCACGAATCCGAGTTGGTGCGTATAGATCTGGCAGTGGATTGTGATCGGTTGCAACGAAGGAACAAAGGAGGCCTCATCCCCCGATTCCCCAGAAAAATGACATCACTACACACCCCATACGAACGCGGCATTTTTGCTGACGTCACAAATAGGGAGGACCATCCGTCATCACCATTTTTTCTTCTCAAGATCGGCGGCCAATGGTACCAATGACCAATAAGCCTTTGTACATTGGGCATTAGACAGAGGTGCGTCACACTTAAGGTCTGTTCACACGATGCATCTTTTAGGCGCGCAACAGTTTCGCGACACTCAAGTTTCGCGAAATGTGCTCGTTCACACGTACCGCTTCACGTGCAACAACGATGACGTTTAGACTCGCGAAAATAGTTTGGGTGTTGACCATAAAGTGGCGCTTCAGTTGAAAGCCAACATCATCATCATCACCATTAGCCATTCAGCGTCATGTTCTCCATCTCCCGCCACATTCTAAGAGTCAAAACGCAGGCGAGCTGGTGAAGGATCATTATTAAGAAATAAAACCTTAAGACAAGGAAACAAAAAGGGACATACACACAACCGTCTTAAAACTAGCACAGCGTACAGCTGTCATTTACTTCCATTTACTTAATTTACTCTTAAATTGTCATTTACTAGTTGTTGAAGTGTCATTTACTGCCATTTACTTTATTTACTCTTGAATATGTATAATTTGGATGGAGGTTGACAAAGAAGAAGACTGTTGTGGAAGTAAGGTTTTGAGACGGTACTGTGTACGTCCCTTTTTGTTTCCTTGTCTCAAAGTTTTATTTCTTAATTATGACTAAAATAAACGCGAATCATCGTCATCACCAATTACGTCTTCGTCCATCGCTGGATTTTTTTCCGATATGCTACTCACTTTTCCTTCAGTGGTGGTTGACGTGCTTGCGGAAGCGCCGGCAGTATCCATCGTTCGTGGTTTCGTTTTTTTTTTTTGGGGGGGATTTGGCTCGGCTACAGCACCGGCAGTGAAGTGGCCTTCTCAAACAGCTCGCTCCCCCCTCAAAAGGCCACGTGAGAGCGCTTCTGAGCGGCCATTGGCGGCGCCCTCAGAGTGATTGACAGGACCGGCAAAGTTTCAGCAAAAGCTCGCTCCAGAAGCGAGGTGTGCGCGCAACTTTTTTTAGATGCGCGCGTCCTTTTCGGATTCGTTCAGACGGCGCAACCATTTCGCGAAACTACGTTTCGCGACACTAGATGCGAGAGAAAAATGCATCGTGTGAACGGGCCTTTAATGTCCAATAAGCATGTGGGCATTGAACGGCACGTTTTTTTTTTTTTGTTTTTGTTTTTTGTAAGCGGGGCATTTCTGCTGCAGTTCTTATGTTGACACAAGTTATTGGAAAGAGATTGAAGCGTCGCGCCCGAGCACATGGGGACAGAAATAACACGATTGATTTGTCTGTGTTCCTGACGCAGCGCTCGGAGCTGACATAGGCGATAAGCTGCGTCATCTTTCAGATGAGGACTCGTGCTCGATCAATGAAGCATACCAATAACCGAACCCAGCCGAACGCTGAAACAGCAGTCGTGTCCGATTTGTGTCGCGCGCTCGATCAAGGAAGATGACGCAACGAATCCAGTCCAAAAGCCTTGTGTCGGGTAAATACCGATTTCTCTGGAAAGCAATTTAAGCCGGACCTTACACAGTTCATTTTCAGTAACCTACACACAGTCACTTCAGAGTTCACGTGGGCGCGTAGTTGTACAAATAAGAAAACGAAAGAAAAGAAACAGATGCGGGTGGAAAAAAAAACCACAAATTGACGAATAAAGAAGAAAAAAAAAGTACGCCCCGACTTTGACCTGCATCGTAGGAAGCAGATGGGAGAAGAACGCGTGCGCATCATTAAAACCCGCAGGCGTACGCTTGAGAAGAAGACAGACATACAACAAACTGAAAAAAAAAAAGCCTGCGTGGCTTTGACCCGCATAGAAGTTAAGCATGTGGAATGAAGTGCGATAAAACGGGCTCTTGAGGAAGTTGAAACAAACTAACATTTCTGCACGTCTTCGCGCCGCGGCCTTCTAAGCTCGTCTCAAGTGCGGCGCGTGCAGTCGATCGAGACTGTCCTTTTGCGCAAGCGCATTGATGTCAGTGGAGTATACATAGGCAGCTTGGTGTCTCTCCAAAAATCATGTCCTCACAAACACGCGTCTTGGTTTTTTGCCACCGTGCACCACTTTTTTTTTTTTTTTTTTGCGGAATTTCGCGACGTTTTTTTAGCCACTTCCGGCCATTTTAACACCACCACAAATGGCCCGACATGCAGCTAAAGTTGTGTGGCCTTTGTTTTTATGAGCCGTTTGAAGGGGACAAGCGCGATAGGTTCCCCAAGCTTTGGACGCTAAGAAAATGATTTTGGAAATGCGACCAAAAGCGGAAGCAGACGTTACTGACTTCCACAAAAAAGCAGTGGGCGGAAAAAGCAAAAAAGTGAAGGAGCACATGACTTGCAGTGACGTCACGTGCACATCAGCGGCCATTGTGGTGGTCTTGCTGCTGAGCGCGTATACGATCGTGGGTAGTATGAGCTGAAACAGTCACAAGGTGTAAAGTCGGGCAAGTTGGTTGATGGTTATATTGAATGGGTTAAAACAGCACAGAAAGACGAAGGATCAGTGAAAGGACACACACAGACACAGCGCTGACTTACAACAGTCCTTCAACCTTCTTTGACCCACCTTCCAGTTTTTGACCATGAATGGAATGCGAAGTTGGGTATTGGGGCAGCTCCTACTGGTATTGCATGCAATTGCTATCTATTCCCCCATCAGTTGTCCTCGCACAATATGCTTTCAAATTCAGCCGCTTACTTCGTTCTGAAGTGTACGCAATTCAGATTCTTTCGGGACCATGGTGCAACCCGGTAAAGACACATTCACTTCTTTTTTTCCCCGGATCTGATCCGGGGAAAAGATCCGGATTCTAGAGTCCCTCGATATGTTTGCGTTTGGTTTGAAAGTAGCTTCAAATACGCCAGTGCACGAGGCCCGTGTCTCGAGCATCAATAAACCTATTGCTTTATTACCCAAGCATCAAGGAGAATGCAGGGATTGGCGTTCCACGCGCCGCACGTGCTGCCTACTTTTCTAAAGCAAATACCTAAAATAAATGGCATCTTGCACGCGCGTTCGTCAACGATTTATTTTGGTTATTTACTTCGAATATATTATGCGGGAAAGGCGTTCGCGTGCGGCGCGTGGAACACCAATCCCTGCATTATGCTTGGGTAATATAGCAAATGGTCTGTTGGAAGCAAATGGCAGCGCAGCACTGAAATGAGCGGCCCTTGAAAGCGAATGGCGACGGAGCACCCGCTTGCGGCACGTTTCTTGCGCGTTTCCACAACAATGGTTGGCGATAGTTGTAAAAAATACCTTTGTCAAGACGCTTTACGGGATCATAGAGTAACTGTATCAGCTCCGCTTTGCGGAGCAGAGTACCGCAATTACGGTGTACTAGAATACAGGGAAGTGTTGGGACCGGAGCGGCTCGCGTGAGGCGTGTTGTGTAGATCGCAATAGGTGTCGACACCGGCGCATCGGCAGTAGGGTAAGTATGGTGGTAGTTGTGCGCGTGCACCGCATGCACGCGCACGTGCGTGGGCACGTGCGAACTGCAGTGACCTTCTGCTGTCCTGTTCAGTGCAGCGCCGCGATTGTCGTCTACACGCGCAGCCTCACAAGTTCCCATTGTCGAGACGCGGCGGTTCAAACACTACCCCGTATTGTAAGTACACTGTGTCGCAATGGTGCTTCCAGGGCGGCCATGTTGGATCCAAATCCGCACTGCGGGAAGCGACCGTCGCTTCGGCCAGAGCCCCGGAATCGCGAGCTTTGCGATCGTTCTCCTCGCCTTCTTCCCAGACTTTGAAAACATGTTTTAAAAAATCGCTCGCGTTATAGGACAATGCGATTTTACCGTATCCAGTGGCTACACATAATGTTGAATGGTCAAGGAACCTCCCAGTTCGTTCTATTTTAGTCTAGGGGCCCTAAACTCGTGAAACTCAAAGTTGGAGCCAAAGGTTCGCGGAGCGCGGCGATTGGACGTCGGCGAAAAAAACGCCAAGTCATCGTCGTGATAGGCCAATCGGTGCGCTCCGTCAACTGCGGCCCCAACTTTGTGTTCGACGGGTTTAGCGACCTAGGTTGTATATTTCGCAAACGCAAAGCGTCCAAAGCGAGGAGTGGGCGCGGCGATTGTCGAGCGAACATGTCGCCTAACTACTGCTGACTCTTCCTAAAGGCGCTGTCATGCTTCAACGGATGTTCCAACGTGGAACGCAACATGACCAGCAACCTGACATCTACGATGACGCTCAGTAATTTCGTGCAGGCCGCTAGTCATCTTCACTTGCTGAAGTCCACCACGGTCATCGCAGCACTGGGATTGATTTCCGCTTCCGCGGTTACGTCACCTGTGAAACACCTACAAAGGGAGTTACCACAGCATTTCATCTTCAGTGGGCGCGGTGATTGTCAAACGAACATGTCGCTTAACTTCTGCTGGCTGTTCCTACAGGTTGGTTATTTATTCGGATCATTTAGAAGTGACAATATCACGATTGTAGTTGTGCCGTGCCCACGGTCTTTGTGTCTTATCACGCATGCCTGTTTGTTAGTATGTACGCTTCTTCTGTTTGGAGATGTGGAGTCAAACCCGGGGCCTACTACTGAAGAAATGTTTCAGACAATCATTGATGGCCAAACCGCGATTAAAAATGAAATATCCGAGCTCAAGGCTCGACGCGAACATAATGACAAAAAAAAAAAGGAAGACGTAACGTCTAAATGTACGGGTATTGAAAAAAAACTCTGAACGAAATACAAATGAAGACTATGCAAATTGATTCTCTGAAACAAACTGTAACCACTCTTGAGCAAATTATTATGGAACAAAGAGCAAAAATAATTACTGATCTTGAGGACAGGAGTCGCCGTTCTAGCCTTGTAATCCATGGCATCCCCGAAACGCCTAACGAATCGGATGATCAATTAAAAAGAAAAGTACTCGTGGACCTCTTTCAAAACAAACTGGGCGTTGCGTGCTCGTCCGTGGTGCGTGCTCACAGGCTTGGTAAACGTGGTTCCAAAAGACCGATTATTTTATACTTTCAGGATTACAATGAAAAACAGAGGTTCTGCGCAATGCTGAAAAACTGAAAGGCTCGAAAGTGTTTATAAACAATTATCACTCAAAGGCTACAACTCAGGAAAAAATTTGCTATGGGAGAATGCCATGCACGATAGAAATAAAGGCGCCCATGTTCATCTATTTAATGATAAGCTTCACGTGAATCACGACGTATTTGTATCGGGCGAAAACAAAAATGCACGCGCAAGTATTTCAACCCAGATAAAAACCACCCTGTCTGACTAACTTGCACCTAACCGTAAACAGTTTCGACTTTTGAACTTAATGCACGAAGTGTCGTCAACAAATCGCACGCACTTGAACCTATCCTTCTTATGCATGACCCGCATGCTTGCGCTATAACCGAAACCTGGCTCACTGATTACATTAGTGACGGAGAGGTATTTCCATATCAGTACAGTGTATTTCGCAGGGATCGTGACGGAAAGGGTGGCAGACTGGCTGTTTTACTTAAACCAGACATCAAAGCGGTACTGGAAACCCAAATAGAAAATCATGAAAGCTTGTTTTTACGCCTTAACTGTTAGGGCAACACTGTAATCCTTGGAGCTGTTTATCGGGGCCCCCCTCTGCTACTCCTGATTAGGGCAAATTATTTGACCATTTGTTTAAATTTAGCAGCCATGAAACAATCCTGGTTGGTGACTTTAATATCCCGTCCGTTGACTGGGCGAATATATGTAGTTCATCTTCTCAAACAGAAATTATGTTTGATATGGTGTTCACCCTTTGATCTGAAGCAATTAGTACAGGATCCAACCAGAGTATGTGGTACCAGTCACTCCATTCTTGGTCTTGTTTTCGTAAACAATTCGCTTGCTGATTGCACCATATCTGTTAAACAGGGTATATCTGATCACTATTCGGTCCTCTTGACATGTTTTCTTGAGCTTTTTCACCTAAAAAAAAAAAGAGTTATATATTCGCATTTCAAAGACTTTTCACGAGCTGTCGATACTATAGCATGCTCGACTATCTTGGCATACACCTTGATAATTTCACTGGTACAAGTATTGATGCCCTTTGGCTAAAGTTTAAGCACTTATGTGAGTACTGTCTTGATAAATTTGTACCTACGAACTACAAGCGCCTTAGTTGTGATAATCCATGGATTAATAGAAAAATCATACATGCCAAACGCAGAATAAAACCAGCGAAAAAAGCAAGGCCGATTAACTGTGATGTCACTAATTTGCAGAGCGATCTTCGTAGCCTAATTTCTGAGGCTAGGTACAACTACTTCTCCGATACGCTTCTAAAATTTCTAAGACAAGACCCTCAAAAGTTTTGGCACTACTTGACTGAAAAAATAAACCCGTTGAGCAAATCATGGTGAATGACACTGTCTCTACTGACCCAAGTGTTATAGCGTGTCATTTCAATGCGTATTTTCAGTCGGTATTTTCTGATAACTTTAACCATGATTATGTCCTTTCTACCGCATCGAACTGTTGATCTCAGTTCATAACTTATCACGGCATAGTTTCTTTGTTGTTATCACTCAAAACGAAAACAAGTGCTGGTCCTGATAAGATTCCAGACACGTTTTTACGACGCATCGCTGAGTCCCAAGCCCATTTTCTTCTCATTATGTTTCCTACATCATACTCGAACAGCTTGCTCCCAGAAGACTGGCGTACTGTGCCGGTGCACAAAAAAAGGTGATCGGCTTGCAGTTGAGAACTACCGTCCCATTTCCTTGACTTCTTCGTGTAAATTGATAGAGCATATCATCTGCAGTCAAATCAATCAACTGCTGGATAGCCGTAAATTTCTAACACAGTTTCAACATGACTTTCGCAAAGGCTTATCAACTACGGCCCAACTCTTTACTACCATCCATGAGTTTGCGCAAATCCTCGATAGGGGAAGTCAAATTTTTGTGTTTTTCTTGGACTTCAGCAAAGCTTTCGATAAGGTGCCTCATGAACCACTGCTTTTTTAAACTTGAACAACTTGTTCTTCCGCGTGTTTTTGTTAACTGAATTTCTGCATACTTATCCCATCGCACACAGTCTGTTTCCGTCGGAGGCTGCCTCTCTCCAGTTCTGCCTGTAACGTCAGAGGTCCCCCAAGGGAGCGTTTTAGGTCCTTTTTTGTTCCTGGTGCGCATTAACGATATTGTTTCAATGATTGACACAGAGGTTTACCTACGTCTTTTTGCCGACGATTGCAATATTTTCAAAGAAATAAAGTCGAGCTTGGATTAGTTACTGCTAGTCCGTAATTTGCAGTCAGGTGTATCATGGTGTGTTAGCTGGAAAATGAAGCTTAATTCTGTTAAATCAACACTTCCACGTATTACAAAAAAAAAAAAAAAAAAAAACTTTGAATACATTTGCATGATCGCGGACACCCCGGTTACTGTGTAACGGGAATGTAAATATCTTCGTTTAATTATATCAGACACACTGTCATGGTCTCCTCATATAAACCGTATTTGTGCCTCGGCATCCAGGAAGTTGGGCTTCATTAGAAGAAAGCTGAAAGACGCTCCGATTCAGGTTGAGCTACACGCTAACTATTCATTAGTAAGATCCGAGTTGGAGTATGCATATGTCGTTTGGGATCCATTCACTCAGAAAGACATCCGGAAGTTGGAGATGGTGCAACGTCGAGCAGTTCGGTTTATTTACGGAAAATATAGAAGGCTGGATTCCCCGTCTCAACTTATACAGGCTAACGGAATGCATACCCTTCAGACCAGAAGGAAACTGGCACGATTAAAATTCTTGTTTCGTTTTGAACAAGGGAAGACTCGCATAAACCCATTGCAATATATTTCCCCTTTAGAGTCAAGATCCACGCGGCACAGACATCAGTGTTCATTAACACCCATTTTTGCGCGTACTGACATGTTTAAGTTTAGCTTTACCTAAACGGCTTACCTCTCGAACTATTTAACGACACCAACTTTGTACAAGGTCTGGAACGTCTTGATGACTAGCATATGTTGCTTTGTATATTGCTGCATGTTCATCCTTTTCGCATGGACTTCTAGATTGTATAAACCTTTGTACTACACTGTATAGATCATTTTGTATTACTGCATGATAGCACTACACACTGCTTGGTGGTTGCTATTCTGCACCACCAGTCCTCACGTTAGGCGGCTCCCCCATACCTCGTGTGTCCCACACCAAATTGCTCGGCGTTACCCTTGACGACAAATTGGATTTCCACCGCCACATCTGCGATGTAGCGTCCAAAGCCAGGCGGACACTGGGCTTCGTTACCCATCTCTCTCGCGACCTTCCACCAGAGGCATTCAGAAACCTCTACACTGCCCTCGTCTTGCCCCAGCTGGAGTTTTGCTGTGCCATCTGGGGCCCACTGCAGCAGTCACGTCAAAATGCCCTAGCAAGCATTCAAAGAAGGGCTGCTTTTACGTTCTACCGCCGCAGTGCCCCCAGAAGTAGCCTCCTCAGTTACCGGGATGTTAGCACCGACTCTCTCCTCCGCAACGCTAACTGGCGGTCGCTACAACATCGAAGAGACGTTGCCTCCATCCGGCTGTTTTGTCGTGTTATGAGTGCGGACGACATGGACTGCCCCAACATACCACGTCTCAACAGGCGTCGCGGTCGTCTGCAACCGGTGCTGGCGCGCACTCTCCGCCACAGGAGAACATGTCTCCTACGAGCCGCTGAACTCTGGTTGGCCCTACCCCCGGAGCTGACCGCAGTGATTCCTAAGGACAGGGACTCTATAAAGGAACTTTGTCAATTGATATCCCGGAAAGATGGCTGGCACCTGTGACCTGTCTCCCGTTGGCTGGGAGCGCCTTAGTGCTGATAGTAGGTTTTTTTTTTTTGTTTTGTTTTTTCGTCGTTGGGTGTTGGCCGGTGTGGGCTGCTGATCGGATGTGGGTGTTGTGTCGGTGTTAGGCTGGGACTCGTGTCCACCCGGCGTGATGATGCGGCACTTGTGTCCGGTCTGCACTTGTGCTGGCCGATATTCGTTGCGGGGAGCTGTCGGTGCTGGGCGTTCTTGTCTGGCGGATTTTACCCTCTAAACCTGTGCAACCCTCCCTTCCCCTTTTTTAATATATATACATGTATATGTGTGTATGTATGTTTATATATGTGTATGTATATATTTTGTATATACTGTATCTACCATTTGCCTCCAGGTGGGTGGCAAGGGCACACACTGTGCATGGGCTCCCTGCCTTTCCTTGTCGCCTGCACGCCTGGTGTGAACTCCCTCGAGTGCAATAAAGAGCTATTGAACTATATTGAACTATTCTCTCCCCCCCCCCCCCCCTTTTTCAATATATCCTGTATATTTGCTAGTTGATCGTTGTAACCCTTTTTAATGTCGCGTTATTTATTTGTTGTTGTATGTGCGAATTGATATGTTGTACCCTACTCCTACTTGGGCCTTCAATGGCCTGTAATATCCTCTAAATAATAAAAAAAAAAAATTATCCGCCCGGAATTTGGCATTTGCAAGGGCGCTTCCCGCACGAAGGTCGGATCCAGCGCGGTGAACGGGACCGCCTCTACCCCCCTTCGGAGTTGGCGGCGGAAGGAAAAGGAACAAGATACTTTTGCTCTGGAAAAACTCTACCGGATCCGAGCTGCTAGCGGCGCCTGGCGGTCTCTATTGATTAGTATAGCTCATTTCTTTATTCGTTGATTTACACACAGTAAGAGTCGGTAAAAGATAATAATAAAAAAAAACCAAGGCCTGATTGGCATACCGGCAATGGTATATCTGAATTATTGAGCGCCTCACTCATGGTAAAGGCAAGCAAAAAAAAAAAAAAAAAGTTGTTAGTTGTTTATACGGCAGGAATTGAGTTTGCTAGAGTATGGCGACATTGTTACCCGCTGCAGATGAGAAACTTAGCAACCGCAGTACCACGGCTAGCCTGGGGTTTTCAACGTGGACCACGCAGTGGTGATACACGACCGCAGGCTTGTATGCGATGCTCTTCCAGATCAAAACGGGCAAGGATAGAGATTGAACCCAGGATCGCAGAGTTCTACAGTGCGAATTTTCGCTCCACGTGCTCTGTGCTGCGATGTGATCCCCCCGCATAATAACGGAGAAATTACGAAAATTCATACACATCGAATCTTCCGAATAGCCGCAACGACGCACCATGCCTCGATACTTATCGGATCCCATGCATGGAGCAGCTGGGGGCAACCATCACAGTATGTCAGTTAACACGTATACCTCCTATTTATGAACAATTATCACTCGATAACAAACAACCCTCTTCACCATATAAAATAACTGGAAGGGTTAAAAAAAAAAAAGGATGTCCACGATAGTTTAACAATATCTTGAAAAGCACCTCCTGGAAGCCTCAGAGTGTCAGACGACGTCTCGTTAAGAGACGGAGCTCCAGGATTCTGAATGACATACGACGTGTAGGCTACCACCGTGAGGCTTCCAAAATGTTCATTTTAAACTACAAGGGCTCCCAAACTTCAATCGTGATGAGCCGCTGCTTTCTTCTTCAGCACTTCTTGCCACGTCGAGCAATGAGCATCGTCGACGAGAAAACTCAGTAAATTATTATAGTGTCTGGGAGGTCCCGCAAACAGGCGATGAATTCCCTCGCACACCGTACAACCAAACGAGGGTCTTTCAATGGCGTAGTCTCTGTTCCAGTCCAAGAAGCGCTGATACTCTGCCGGCGTGTTATGAACACGCCACAGATACTTCCCCAGGTCGCTCGGAGACTTGAAGTCCGCAAAGTCTATGTAAGATCCCGGAGGCGCCACCCTGGCATAGTCCATGCCTCCCATCACGACGGGTACCATGCCGTGCATCAGCGGGAAGAACAGTTTCTCGGTGCTGTAGTCTTTGCAGATTGAATTCTCGAAGGCGAGGTAGAAAGAGTAGTGGACCGACACCTCTTCGTAACAATCGAGTCTCTTGCATTGCAGGGTGCCACATCTCCCGTAGACATCCACTTGAATTGTCTTCTTAAGTTCGTCGACGTACTGCTCACGATGATTGTAGCCGTTGCAGTTGGATACTATCCAGACTACCGGCCGTGACTTGGGGCTATGGCTAGCCGACGTTTGCGATGACGTGTTAGTTGGCCTGATTGGTCTGCGCACTACCTTAAATGTATGCCTATAGACGATGTCGGCGTCGAGTCGGTAGGACAGCGTCCAGTTAATCTTTACGCCGTCCATCTTTTCGTGGGAGTATGGTAGCCTATGGGGGGATTCCATGGCGTATAGAAGATATGCCTGGTTCGGACTACGGTACGGCGGAAGGGTCCTCCAAAAATCATAGTTGCTTTGAAAGATGACGACGTCACTCTGACATAACTTCCGCTTGTTGTGCCGGAACCGGCAGGATACGGTACACGTCTTCATGACATGGTCTCCAAAGTGGAGCTTGAGGAATTCGAGTCCGAATGGGTTCCACACGAGGACTTTGTATTTCTTGGCAGGTCCGGCCTTCAATGGCGTCAAATATTGAATCGGCGGAGCACTGGGTGGGACGGGGAACGGCGGCTTGAAGAGTTGCTGCGCATACAACACTGCCAAAACCAGACTGAGGCACAGCGGGCCTACCTTGTAGACGACGCGCGCCAACCTGGCCGGAATCATGATTTCCGAAGGACGGCGCTTTTGAGGGTTCTTTAGTCATGTAGCAAAATAACAAAATGCAGAAGGAGCAGTCTTCAAGTCACTTAAACTTGGCAGCGATGAGATCGCCTCCGTACTGGCAACGGAAGAGAATCCAGAGTATAACGTCGCAGCGCAAAATTAATGCCGGCGTCAATGTACACCTAGCGTTCGAAACATTCACGTGGGAGCGCGGAAAAAAGAAACGAGATAAAAAACGCGCTATCTTTTTTCCTCTTTTTCTTTCTTGTAGCGTTTGTGTGCGTGCCGAGGAAAACAACACGCTAATCAAAACCAGAAATAAGTACACTAACCGTGACGTCACTTCTGGGCACGGGAAACAAATAGCCCTTTGCCCTGCTTGCAGAGCAGACGTGGCACATTACAGTTAGTGACTCTAGTTAGGGGAAATGGGGGGCCAAATAACGTCAGCGAAAACACCATTTTCAGATCTGCTCACTAGCACGAGCTGTAGCTAAATCAACTTATAGACGCTTTGCAGCAGCTGTGCATGGACGCCGCCATAACTGACCTTCAGTTTTTTGTTTCCTTTTATCCGTTTATTTCACTTCATCATCACCATAGCAGGCCAGGTTATTGCCATATTAGATTCAACTGTGTCCTTTTCTAAAGCATCGGCCTTTGTAGAGGATCGTCAACTACCGTTTCAGTTGCTCGGCATCTCGGTAAGACAAGAGAAGGTCAGCAATGGCGGCTGTAATTTGGCGCGTTTGTAAAGCGTCTATAGGCTGCAGGTCCACACATCCACAGCATTGACGGCGCGAAGTGAACGGGGGGGGGGGGGGGGGGGGGGGGGGGGGGGGGGGGGGGGGAGCTTGCCGTCAGCACACGCTCAACAGCAATGCACAAGCCTCTGGCCGGGAAGTGAATAAAGTCACTGGATATATTTAGCAGTTAATAGCGCCACTAAATACTGATTGAAGATGAGGGAGAGGAGGAGATGAAAGTGCGCGCGGATGCCAGAGCGACCAGAACACCGATCTCAGGAATGATTGCGGAGCACGAGACGACTTGTGCCGTCTCATGCTCCGCAGAGCTCCAGCGAGGTTGTCACACGTGCAGATAGAGATCCCTCGATGCATTCCGGCAGCGGTGGCGCATCCAACTGACTCATATGAACTAGAGCCATGAGATGGAGGTATACGCTCAGAGTATCGGCACTCCCTTCCCCGATCTGCTAGAGGGCGCCGCCATCTTGGTGCTTTGTGCAGAGCAGACGCAACTGTCGATTGTCACAATCAAAAAAAGAATGCTACCTCCTAAGTTTTAGGTACGGTGTTAGGCTGTTGAGGTGATATTGTCTTGCTTTGTCGTGAACTGTTTTAACGTTTCTGGGAAACGGAAAAGCGTTTCCTGCGATTTCAGATAAAGTTTCTGGGAAACGCTTTTCCGTTTCCCAGAAACGTTAAAAGAGTTCAACCATAACTGGCAACCATGGTTTTAAGGACCATGATGGCTGCAGTGTCGTTACTTTGAAGCGTAGCTTAGAGTCCCTTGACGTGTTTGCGTTTGTCTTGCAAGTATTGGCGACGTGAGCGATCGAAAGCGTCGCTGTGGTCGGCCCACCACAATTGGCCGAATGGTGACTGTCATCGCTTCAAAGTAACGACACTGCAGCCATCATGGTCCTTAAAACCATGGTTGCCAGTTATGGTTGAACTCTTTTAACGTTTCTGGGAAACGGAAAAGCGTTTCCCAGAAACTTTATGACGTATAAGGATGTATCATCGACTGAAATAAGAGCAATATAAGAACTTCAATTTTGACGGTGTTGGCAGCGTTACTTTGAGAGCGCTATGATTTCAGGCTTCCACCATGCCCATTACAAAGACCTAGGGTGCCTTCATGCGCGCTTTGCTTAGGGCGGAGACATCTGGCCATTTTGTTCCCACTTTTACATTTATTTTTTGTTCAGAAGCGCGTGAAAGAGCGTGTCCCTGCACGCGTCTGTGGCGCTGACTGTGCTATGGCGACATTTTGTTTTCGTCGATGCGTTGCTTGGGGTCTCGTGAAATAACAGCCTCGGCACCTTCTGGGGGGCTATGTTGCGCTTTTTGCACTTACAGGAGACTAGGGAGAGGGAAGTGACGTCAACGACACAGCAAACGCAGATTGGGTGTTGATTTCGTTTTCTTCTGTCAACATCCAATCTGCATGTGCTGTGTCGTTGACGTCACTTCCCTCTTCCAAGTCTCCTGGGAGTGCAAAAAGCACAACATAGCACCCCTGGTCCACAGCTACCACGACAAATGCCAAAAACAGCACCAAGATTGCCATTACGCATGAGTGAAGATAATTCACGTCGTTTACATTTTTTTTTTCTTTTATGGGGAAGCCGCGCACTTTTGTGGTGATAGCTAGCAACCGGCGATTGTGTAGGCATTATCAGTATACAAGAGGATATGTCTGATGTGACCCAGCGTTTGCCAAGACGTGGCTCCTAGCAAGCCGGCCCTAATCACCAGGAAACACTGGGAGAGACTGTCGCAGACAATTCCATTGAATCGAAAAGGTCCAAGCTGTCGGAGCTTTGCCGATAGCAAAGTCATGGCGAGGGGCGAAGGAGAAAAGCTCACCGGAGAAAAGCTCACCGGAGATAAGCTCATCGGAGAAAAGCTCACCGCAAAACCGGCAGATGCGGAGAACATCCCACCGGTCTTTGAGCGGATGTGGAGAAAAGCTCAACGATTCTTTTTCTTTTTTTTTTTAACTTAGCAATATCTGCGTCAAACGTGGCAATTTAACACGATTCACATTCGTCACTTCATTAACAATATGTCTTTTTTTGTAATATTTTTGAAGTTCATTGGGCATATTTACTAATTCCTCAGAAATTAGTAATCACCCATTCTGTATATTAATGAAGCCGCAAGTATAAAATCAGAACATCGTACACCGGTAAAAAAGGACGATAATTTATTGACAACTGACAGTGCGCCGTCGGTAGCTCTGTCGAAAAAAGAGGTTTATTTTTCTTTGCGAGATAATATGAATAGCGGTGTGGTGAACCGCTTCGGTTCCAAATATTGTATAGTGCCTAATAAATAAGTGGGTGTTTGTTGATGTAATCAGTATCGGCTACGCTGTTTTCTTTCTGTTAATTTCACTAACAAACTTTTAGTCGCGAGAACAGCTTCGTCTTGTCGTGTTTGTTGTCTTCACTCCGTCGTTGTCATTTGAGCAGTTTTCATCATGTATAACGTTTACCAGCTCGCCCTATAGGGAGTATTCACTGGCGGCCATATCTGTGTGCGTGGTTGCTGAGCGCGTGCTGACGGCGAACTTCCACAGTTTTTTCGCAATGTGCATTCCACATCACCAAGGATGCCGGTCTTAGCAGCCTATTGATGTGAGCTCGTTCTGAGCATGCGCCCTAACCATCGCCCTCAAATATGACGTCCAGTGAATGCCCCCTGTTCGCTACCTTACAGAAGACTAGTTCTTATATAGGTCACGAGTAACAACGGTGCCAGTGTGCAGCTCGGAAGGTCATGAATGGCTCACCGTAGAATGGGCATTATCCCAGAAAGGCAACGTGTCGAAACACCAGCACGAACGACTATAAAACGTGCACATCCGTGAGAAGAAGCCTCGATATCCTACTGACTATTTTATCCTGTTTTCAAAGGTTAACAAAAGCTTCAAAGAGAATTTCAGGCACCGCGCTGCTGCGCATGCATTTTCGGATTTTCGACATCAACAGTTTTGATTTTTAGGTTTCTGGCAGACATGATTAAGTTTCCCAACTTTTTCCTCTGCGTCAAGTTCATAAAGTTTTCAGTTAGGCTTTCGTTGCCTGGAGAGTAAGCGACAGAAACCCAATAAGCTGACAAATAATACAAAAAAGGACATTTTCTTTTTTACAAAGCTGACGAATTTTAATGATAATAAATTTATATATGTTACGCAGGATTCAACAGCCTTCATATAAAAAAAGAGAAAAAATCGGTGAGCTTTTCTCCGCCTACGCTCAATGGCCGGTGAGCTTTTCTCCACATCCGCCGGTTTTGCCGTAAGCTTTTCTCCGGTGAGCTTTTCTCCGGTGAGCTTATCTCCGATGAGTTTTTCTCCGGTGAGCTTATCTCCGGTGAGCTTATCTCCGGTGAGATTATCTCCGGTGAGCTTTTCTACGGTGAGTTTTTCTACGGTGGTCTTTTCTCCGGGATTCCATGGCGAGACGGCGTTTGAGAAACACTTGAGAGAAACGCGGAAAACCGCAAAACGGAAACGATAAATAGAATTAAACAAACAAAATTATCACAAAACGAAAAGCAAAAACGACGCGGTTTGAAGTTCCGAGCGAATGTACGCAAGACCAAAGACGCCTCTTACCTTCTATCGCAACGCGATCTGCGAGGACATTGATTGTGACGTTTCGCCTGCTCAGACTCGCTAAAAAAAAAAAAATGGTATTTTTGGGTCAGAAAGTTTATTTGTACTCGTTATTGGCTCCCATCTATTTTTCCAACAAAAAGATTGGACGCACAGTTTGTCTGAAAACAAACAGGCGTGCATTTATTCCACATGTTTCCCGGTTTTGAAAAAGCAACACTCCAATCTCGACCTACCGCTTTCTTGAAAAAGTAATGCGTGTTGTTTGCACTTTTAGTATCTGGGCAGATAGTCAAGCCAAAGCCAAGCAAGCTCGATAATTATAATTTTCGGCCCTGTACCCAGGGCCACCACAAGGCAGAAACTGTCGCGAGTCATTATTTTCTCCATTAACATGCCTGGTGACAACTGTTTTTCGAAGTTTTTGAAACTGGCCATGCCAGGTATCAAGCCAACGCACCGCGGTTTACGACTCTACATCGACAAAATCGTCAGTTTCCGTCGACCACTACGCGATTTAAACAAGAAACCGGACAGTTTTTTTTTTTTTTTCTCCTCAACTATATTTGTTTTCTTTTCTCAATCTTGTTACGCGCAGATACGTTCCTGTGAAACATCAGCAGGCAGCACCTCACGCATACGCCATGGTGGTAATGGAGGCAAATATGGTGGTAAATATTGCCATGGAACATACGCGTGGAAGTCGCTCGTAAGTTCGGGAGCGGCGAGATCGAATACTTCTGACTCGGTTACCCCGCAACGCAGTCGTTCCCGTCAACGAGGACGATTCCGTGTTTTTACAACTGTCCGGTTTCTTGGCCAGATCGTCGCGACGCAAATTTGTATACACATCGCATCTTACAAAATTCGAATAGCCGGTGGGACATACCATGTGTCGATATTTATCGGATCCCACGCAAAGAAACGTGCAGAACTCAACCACTATCTAGCGCATGCCGCGAAACACATACCTCATACGTATAGACTAGTTATCATTTGACACCCAACACTTCTTTTGACTAGATGCAAGAATAGACCCTTTTCAAAGGCAGACCAAGAAACATTTGCGGTTATCTATCTTTGGGCACGAAACGTGCAAT